ATTGCAAATATATAAAAGACTCTTGAATAGAAAGATAAAGGTACGTATCATTTTGTCTCGTTAATTAAATATTATATGTTGCAATAAAATATATGCAATTTACAAAATACAATAGTATATGTTACATGTTGCAAGAAATTATATATTCGTTTTGCAATTGGCGTAATTTAAAGATTGATTTCATTTTTTTTTTAATATATGCATACGTACTACTGAGGGGTAATTTATAATAAAAAATTAACAATATATTATCACATGAACTATATTATTTATGTAACGGTTTTTTTTTAGTTTATGTAAAGTACAGTTTTTATGGAAGGTACATGCACACTTGGCGCCTTTTTTTTTACCTTTTTTTATAAAGGTAATTTTGTTAAGATATCACGCATTTTGTAGTGTTAAACATCTTATATTCTTATATGATTAATATTTCTTTCACTAATAGCGGCCTCACCATAAGTATTTGAGAGCATTCGATGAGCCTCAATTCCGTGCGGTGGTGGGGGTCGCGCGCCGAAATCGGCCCGAAATGTGCAAATCCTTGCGACCACTGCTATACATGTATGTATGTATTTTTGATAAGTTTCGTATTATAAACTAATTTTCTACATCTCAAATATTGTATTAAATAACAAAACGAATAAAACTGTCTATATTCTTTTCTTTGAAATAAATTCGCAAATTTGCTCTCGATTTGATCATACAAACTTCTTGTCCACTTTTAACTTATGAAACCTTTTGCGTTATTCATATTCAATACATTTCTGAATTACTTCAAAAAAAAATTTTTTTTTCAAAAATAAATGAGTAGAATGAGAATGCATTATATAAATTCTAATAAAGCCGTACAAAGAAATGAACTAGTTTTGAGTAAATAAATTCGTCTCTGATCGTTTTAATAATAACCGACACTGAGCTCAATATCGCACAATATGAACGAGTTAACGGGCGGATTGTTCGTTTTTGTTCACGCATCGTGTTCATATAACTTTCTATACAGCTATACGAATCATCTCGAGTGCCGCGATATAAACAGAGGATAAGGCACGTTTGGTGCAATGAACACTCGAGAGTACACGCGCCTAGCTTCAAAAGGCAAACCGCGTTTTTGTCCATATATTCGTTGAGAAATTACGAATCGTTTCGCGAATTTTACAAGACAAAGCGTTTTGATACGTATTGCGAAAACGGTAAAAAATGTTTAAGCCAAAAATAACTATCTAATTTTTATTTTGCGTAAATGATCACCTGGAGAGTTTTTTGCTCTTCGATTAAAAATAACAATAATATTAACTATATATAATATCATACGTATATTGATTGTTCTATAATTTATTAGTATTTGAGATCATTACGTTCACACACGCACACAAATATACACACATATGTATATAGATGTAGTCAATATTTTCTAGAAAAAGGGAAGAAGAAATAAAAAATAGACGTATCTCGATCAATAAAGAAAATTACAGTGACTGACACAAGTTTTATTTTCTACCCTCATTAACCTGGACCCACTACCATCGAAAATCGAAATCCAAATTATTTTCATGCTGCTCTAGAATATAAAAATCACGAGTGACTCCTGAGTTAAAAATCGGGTTTAAACTATTGCGATGAATATTCTCCTAAAAAGAGAAAGACAAATTCTTATACGTGATAGTACTAAAGTAAAAATTACTTTATTGATTGGAGAGTCGAGCTATATATCTCAATGAGAGAGAAATATTCTGAATAGGCTAAACAAAAAATTAACAAATTCTTTGCTTCGGAATTCATTTTTATTATAGTAAAGTGAGGTAATAAAATATACATAATGACGAGCGATTTTTTTAATTCGTAGATTGATCAGTCGATCAATCACATTGTAGGCAAATGTAATTTTGGTCTGTAAAAGCTGCATTTGCGCACAATGTGATTGATCAGTCGATGAATTAAAAAACTCGTTCTATGTAGCAAATTTTTTATACGCGACAAAAATTTGAGAATAGCTCTTGTTAATGTAGTTAGACTAATGAAAAGCATATATTGCGATGGACAGAATGTTACAAACGGTCAAAAGAATTATTCGTGCGTGGCGATATTTTATAATTTATTTGTTGTACAATGTGATAAGGAATGTCGCGATGTTGCTAAGTAAGAATACATTAAACAGGATGACCAAAATTTTTACGCGCTACAGTATTAGCTAAAGTTATTATGGGTCTGTTTTTTATTCCTGTACTAGACTGCATTAGAACTCTCCTTTTTGCTTTCGCCCAATATCAAACATATATTTATCTTGCTTTAAAGTCTGATATTTCATTTTCTGGTTAAATTGCGATTAAACTAAATCTGATGTTTTATCCAATGAGCTCTATCTATGATGATGTCATGGGTAAAGCCCATTAGGTGAAACTAAGGTTGAAACATCAAGTTAAATTTAACCATAAGTTAACTAGATAATGAAAAATTGGGCCTAAGTTCCACAAGTGTACATTAGTTCATTCACAGACCTTATATGTAGTTTATCAAAGTACTTGAAGAGAAGAAAGGAATATACGTAAATTGCAATAATATCCCGAATAAAACAAATAACACGTAGCAATATTTCAAAATTAGTTTACTGTTAGGATGTGATAAAAAACGTATTCCATAATAATCAGAGACCGGTATTCACAGTTTTTTATTTTTTGACAATCTTAAATAATGTTTCAATATACCAATACAGCCTTCTGATCAGCTTATTACATTTTAAGACTAATTTTAAGGCGGTTTTAAATATAAGAGTCGACTATGAATACCGTCCAGAGTATCCTAAATAGAAAAAAATAAATTTCTTTATACGTGGCAGCAACGCAAAGTTGCTGCACATACACCGCACTTCCGCGAACTGAACGAAAACTGAACAGAGATCTTACCTTTAATATTACGAAATCCATGTCGCACGGCTCCGGCAGCTAATCAATGGGTCCTATCCGATAACTGATAATCCAGAATATCCGTTTCACAGAATGAATTGGGCACAACAAAGTACGCGACAGGACGGAGCAGAGCAAAAACAATCAACAATAATGCAATGAAAGAGGAGCGATCAAGCGCACGACCCTCGTCACTGACAATCTCACTTGTTCGCCGATCCGACCGAATCGAGAGTGATGCACTTCACGCAGAACACACCGGATAATCACCTCGCAGATTTACCATGCTGCCACCCACGACGGATTTCGCCTCAAAATCGAACGCGTCTTTCGACCAAAAAAGAGGCGTTTTCGCGATCGTTTTTATCTCGCAGGAAATAAGCGAACAAACTTGTAACGACACGACACGGCACAGCACAATGCGACGATTCGAAACCGAAGAAAAACCTCAACTAACGCGTATGCCGACTCGGCGTAGACTGAAGCAACTCAACTAACTGAAGTGAGCGTCAGTCGCGAGAATTCGTAGGGTGGGAAGCATGCTGCGCGGGTGAGAGAGAGTAAAAGCGCATGAGCGCATGATCGACGAGGACCGAGGGTGCGCGAGGCGAACGAAAAGGGGGATGAGAGAGAGAAGATAGAGGACAAGTCGACGCGTGCGACGAAGACAGATGTGCAAGATTCGAGAGTGAGAAAGAGCAATGGAGCGTAAACGGTAGCCATCCAAGCGCGCGGTGCGAAGAAGAAAGATGGAGTGGGAAAGGACGATTCTGAAATCAGAATAGGCGTAGATTCGAGCGAGAAAAAAGAAGAAAAAGGAGAAAGAGGAGACAGAGGAGAAGGAACGCTCGGAGTTATCTTCCATTCGTGGAAGCAAAACGAATACGAAAGAATGTTAACCGAGACAACGAAGGAAAGGGTGAAAAGGAGAAAGCATTTAAATGCAATGTGTCCTACAGTTACTGCCATGACAGTTACACGTGTAATAAATTTTCATAGACGTACAGCATTCGTTAGATGATAATCAAGAAAAAAACCGATTTTTTAATATTCTCGAAACATGCATATATTTTAAATTCATTATAACTATATATAGGATAGAATCGGGTATTATGAGCACTGCAGGTAATATGAGCACCCTTTATATTTCTGTAACGGTTGGTACTAGCAGTACCAACTGTTGTAGAAAGATGCATCTGTCTTCGCGACATTCCAATATGTTGCAAAGTTTGATCTAAATTGATGTACTTCGGATATTTGTCATGTTAAATAAATAGGTACGTTATTTTTTATTTCTTACGTTCTTTCCTGTAACTTCATAAGGTCACCAATCTACATTGAGATAAGATATTTTGTTCTCCCCTTAATATTTGTAAAGTAAACAATATTGAACCATTCTAACTTTATAAAGTTCCGAGACCATTATTGATTTATTAGACACGGTAGTTTTTCGGTATGCATGATTGGGTATTATGAGCATCATTATTCCATATAGTACACTGAAAAAAAGAGTCTGGCGAGGGGCCCAACCACTATAACAATCAGTGTACATTTCTTTAGAAATATATTGCAACAGTACAGTAATAAAACAGGCAATGCTAACAGTAGCAGTACTAGCAATCGCTAGCAATATGCTAACAATACATAGTAGTACATAGCAATACATTAACAATACATGGCAATATTGCACACAATAGGTGGCTATTAGGTTCAATGTAAAATATATGATAGAAATTTTACATAGGATAACAATATTAACAATATAATAGCAATAAAGTGTGTTGTATTGTCATAATTAGCAATCATTGTACATCAGTGTACATTTTTTTAGCAGTGGTTGACTCTTAGAATCCAAATAGCTATTAAATATATGATGAAATAATGTCAATCAAATGTTTGGTTAATATAATAAATATTAATATAACAAAAAATAATGTTACTTTTACAAATATTTAATAAGTTATTACCAAACTATTACCATTTGGTAATACTTACTAAATATTTTAAATGTGACATTACTTTTTGATTGTGTTATGTTGACAGATGCCCAAGTTTATTGTATGACATCCATGATCTATTTATTTCGACCACCACTTACCGCTAAAGCCATCTATAAGAAAACGGCGGAAGCAAAGTTGTACATCTAATACCAATATATATATATATATTTCAATCTTTTATTTCTGCATCATTTCTTGCAAAAATTTCCTGTTTTTTAAATTAGCCAATTAGCGACGCATGTGTGCAACATGCAATGTGTGCAATCGGAGCCTTCTCGAGGGTAATATGAGCACTGGATGGGTAATAAGAGCACTCGCCACCATTTCAACATTTGCATTAAAATAATCAATTTCAATACTAAGATACATAAAACATTAACAAATCTATCATATGGTATGCGTAAGATTTTTTTATTCTTCGTTATGCTAGATATATCAAAATGTTTCCTTAAGATGCTCATAATACTCGATATAAATGATTATAACAAATTTAAAATAAATAAAAACAATTTTCTCTATATTTTTTTAGTAGTCACTTATATTATTTCTGTCAGTTAAACAAAAAAGGGATGAGTTTTCTTTCTACATAGTGACCCTTTTATTCACGAACAGGATAAAAAGATCTTTTGCGTGACAAACGCGCATATACCGAATCGAATAAATTATAATATAATATGCAGTTACATTCGCGACAGAGTCAAAGAAAGCGAGGCAAAAAAGGCTTGCGACGATTTATGAATTAAACACAAGAATAACTACACAAAGAAAACTCGCACGATGATAAAAAAAAAGATTTTTCGAAAAGATCGAGTTGGCGTACCAAAGGCTTGTCGGATTCTTATTAGACCCCCAGCTTGTAATTGGAGGGAAATAAAAAAATTCTATTAAATTTTACCTAAAAGGGTGAGAGAGGAGGGCATATCAGAGATATCTCGTATATTATGAGAGGGAGGAGAGAGAGAGAGAGAGAGAGAGAGAGAAGGCATGAAAAACCACAACTTTAGTTTCGTATCTGACGACCGCTTCCCGCTTCGATTTCAGCCAAGAAAAGCTTGTGGGGCGGGAAAACGCGATGCATCGCGGATTGAGAAAGGTAATCTGCGGAAACGCGCGACGACCATGCAGCGAGGCGGCAAATTCAGCGGGTGGAAGAAAAACCGAAGGGACCGTGTAGGGTACCGCTGTATAGGGTGCCGCGAGCGACAGGGAGACGAAAGGGAGAATGAGAAGGACGTGCGAGAGAAGGAAAGGAAAGAGAAAAATGCGAAGGACCGAGCGCGAACGAACTTCCGCTTGCTCTGCTGGTCAGCATACTGCCTGCATACGGCGTGACCGCTGTTTTCTTGTCTGTTTCGTTTTTTTTCCTTTCACTTTTGCGATAGAGCGGTTATTCTCGGATACGTGTTCCGCGTATTCATCAAACATTCAATTGCAATGTGATAGACACTTCTTTATCCTTTCTTGGGACTTCCTACGATGCGAAAAAAATTTTTTTTCGTAGGGATAATTATCCCATATCAAGTTAAACCGTTTCTACAAATAGACAGAAAATATAAATAGAGGAAATTTGGCGAATACGTACCACCCCTGATAAAAAAATCCGATAAAAATATGTAAGAAACGATTAAATTCTTATAAGACTTTATTGTTATTTATGAAACCTATCGTAAGTATTTTTTAAGTTAGATACAACTACTATCGTTTCAAATCAATTTTTATAATATACGGTTTTAATTGTCCTAGATCAACAGAAATTCTTTAGGTATATATCGTACTTATACTCATATTCGTTATTCATATGGAATTGATGATAGAAAATCACTCGGAACTTATTTGACATTTTACACGAATATCTTCTATCAGGTTCAATGTAAAATACATGATAGAAATTTTATCAGTTTCAATGCGTAACTTACATATTCGTTATTGTTATGTTAGGTAATCCGAAGTGATTATAAAATCAATAGTCAGATTCCTTTCATATACTAAGCAATCATGTATTTGAAATAATTATTTAATACGTTATAATTATCATATAGTAATAAGTTATGGGAGGGCTCCGATTGCACACATCGCATATTGCACACATGTATCGCTGATTGGCCAATTTAAAAATAAAATAATCTCATTGGCAAAACATTGAAAAATTACTAGGCACCAGTTGATATGAGTGGTGTGTACAATCAGAACTGTAGGCAAACGGGATCCTCCCATAAGTTATTACTATCATCCTTTATCTCATTATCTACGACAGTATCAATTATTTTGTTGCAATCATCATCATTCTCTGTACTTATTGATAGTGTCTTATTCGTTTTATAATAAAAATTATTTTCATTAAATACTACATTTCTAGAAACCTCAATTTTTCCTTTTTCAATATTCCGTAGCCTTTACACGGAGAAAACTGCGCAGCGATGATCGCTAAATCGCGCAGCGCCGATTACTGTACCAATAAAAAAATGTTCATTGCACAGCGATAATTACTGTGCGCGCGCTAGTCATCGCTATTTGGACAGTAATCACAGCGCTGGACAGTAATTGTTTTCACAGTACTCAGAGCTGCGCACGCAGCAGTTTCTGTCTTTCGCACACAGCAACGTTTAATTATTTCATTGGAAACATTATTCATTTCAGGATTAATTAATTTGCATATATAGGTTAAATAATTGCAATAAATGTATGTATATTAAATTTTTAAACATTTAAATCAATTTTTTCTTTCCAATTTATGATGATTTGTTCAATTAAAAGCAATTTTTTTATATAATAAATAAAATATTTATTAACTTTTCAACATTTTTTCAACTCTCTTTGTTGAATAAATTAATAATTTTTTTCGACCTCTTAGCAATGTTATTTACATTGTGAAATTAATCCTATGTATATAATTGAAATGAACAATTCCATTATCAAGGAATATCTATCTACATTCAACCCTCAAAATCTCACAGCATTAAAAGTGGGATCCATCTATACAAAATTCATTCTAATATCCTTACAGATACATCAACATATTTTTCACAACATACTGTAAATTTAACATAGTGCAATTGCATTTCATCACGAATCTAAAAGCGTACGATAGTGTCTTGATGCAACACATTTCTCCTGCTTTACAGATTCATCGCGCTCTCAAACAGCTCCAGCATCCTTTTCATCTCTTTGCTGAAAATCAAGATAGAAAAAAGAATATATGTGCTTGTAAAGAGAATAACCTTATTTTTTAAATACTCTAATATTCATGGCAATTCATCGCAATAAATTGCCATGAATATTTTCGTTGAGGCTGTTAGAGTACTTCGTTGAAATGTTATATCCAAAGGTTTTGGGGGGTCGCCGATTTCGAATCCGGTCTCAAAATTTGAAAATTTAAAATGGTTGAACCAATATGGCGGATTGATGTTTTACAGAAATGATAAGTTTTCCGATTTCAACAAAATGAAGCATTAGAAGGTTTTCGGGGTCGCTGATGTCGAATCTGAACTTAGATTTTGAAAATTCAAAATGGCTGAACCAATATGTGGCGGACGAAAATGGTAAAAATTCTCCGATTGTAGCGAAATAAAGCAATAAAGGATTTTTTCGGAGTTGCTGATGCCGAATCTAAACTTAGATTTTGAACTAATTTATATTACGAGCGTATAATTAGCACTAAATTATAATATTGGTATTTTTATTATTATTATTTTTAATGTGCATTCTAACTTCATTAAAAGTTGGCAAAAAGTTATTTCTTACTAAACAGCGAGAGCAATCAAATCGGGATTAGAGCACAAAAAGAGCACTGAATCCTCCGTTTGTCTCATGTGATTATGCTCATGTTAGTATTCTAGCTTAATAGATATAGAAGCTTCTTTCTTGTCTCTTCTCTTTCGCTTTCATCCTTCATCTCTCAGGACGCTGTTAATATTTTATTAAAACGAAATCTTTTTTTTTTTAATTAATATCGTGATTTACAGATAACCTCTTTTGTATGATTGATTTTATAAATAATAATCACATCTTCGTAAGAAATTTCATAAAAACGATAATAATATTTATAGTTTATGAAAAGTTTCAAAATGTCCCATAATTAATATTAATATGTCTTCACGTGCCTGAATTGAATTAAAAGGATAATATATACTCACATCTGCTCTGCTAACTTATAAATTGGTCCCATCGATTTAGACAGTTCTTCGCACTTAGCCATTAATTGATACATTGATTTTATATTATGATCCACAGCGTCACAA